CTCACTCTTCAACCTACCTTTTCTTGGTAACAATAACTTTTAATCATATCCTTTATTATCCACTCATATTACAACAACTACCAACATATTCCTTAAATATCCACTCATCAAAATCCTTCCATAAATCACTTTTACTTTTCAAAATAAACACTTATTCTCTCAAAAAACACTAATCCAAAAATCACTTCCTAACTTCAGCAAACCTTAACTGTTCATTTTCCCTTTCAAGCTCCAACCATGGCAAAAAGACAAAGGGAAAGGCAAAGGTGATGAAGGTTTAAGTGCTCCAGATCCTTTGAACCTTGGGAGATTGGTTGATACACCAAGAGAAAAGAAAGTGCTTTTAAGCTTCAAGAATCATCTTCTTGCTCCTCCTGAGTATGGTAATATATCATCTTTTCCATCCTTAACCTTTGATTTTCTAGCTTCACTTCATTATCAAGAGTTGGATAGTTTGATTGCTGACTCAGGACCAATTTATCTTGACTTAGTTATAGCATTTTATGAAAATCTGTCAATTGAAAAGGGTTGTGTTTTTACTTCTAATGTTAAGGGAAAAGAGATTGTTTTAACTTTGGAATAATTTGGGAAGTGCTTAGATATTCCATATGACTGTGAAATAATTCTGCATGGTTTTACTCGTGATTGGTCTGGCTATAACAAATAGTTATTATTTCAGCATTAATCATTTAACTGAGCATGAAATTAATAACAAGAGATCTCGTAATACTTCCTCAAACTAGTTGATTTTGTCCTGTAAGAACCTCTTCATTAGTGATAGGATGCTACACTACTTCATAGTGTATATCCTCATGCCCAAACACTCAAACCATAACAAATTAGTGATATTGAGATGCAGATTGTTTATGCAATTAAGAATCGGTTAAAGGTAAATTAGGCATATGTCATCATGCATCATATGCAACACCAAAGAGGCTTAAGTGGTGGACTTCCTTATGCAAGGTTGATCACAAGCATTATGGAACATTGTGAAATTAATTTAAGGGGGTAATATATGAAAAATATGACTACTAAGGAGTGTGAAATTCATGTTGGGGCAGCCGAGAGAAATATGGGAATCTTCAAAGACAAATACGATATTTTCAAGCATAGAGATGATCCTTCTGTTTCATTGGCTCCACCCGAACCCAAAGGAAGCTACACAAATGAAGCCATCTACGACAAAATGTGTTCCTTGGAGACTTTTATGACATTAGGCTTCCGTGAACTCCGTCTTGAGATAGCCTCCCTTAAAAACCAAAACCAAAACTAAGAGGAAAATGAAGATAAGGAAAGTGAAGATGGTGAGATGGATGAAGATGAAAGTGATTAGACCATTACTTATGCTATATGTTATTATGATGTCTTTAGTTTATGTTTTTCATTATGTCTTAGAACTATTTTGATAGCATGGTGTTTTCGTTTTCGTTATGTTTTTGTTTCAGTTCCTAATGTATTGCACTATAGTGATGTTGGTTCTGTTTGGCTTGGTTATGTATGACTTATTATGTTATGTTATATCATGTTCTAATTATGTTTGTGTTATGTCAAAGTATTATGTTAGTTTTTCTTGTTTAAGGAGTATGTTATGTTTTGTCAAAGCTTCTTGTATGTTTATAAAATTTTAAGACTTTTCCCATCCTTTTTACTAATGATAAAAGGGGAGAAGATGTTTGTGTTGTGTATGCCTTTCTCTAACATTTAGAGCAAGCACCAAATTCTCAAAAACTCTCATTCAAAGATCAAGGGGGCATTGATCAAGGGGGAGTTATCATTGTTAGAAGGAGCAAATATTATCGAACTTTCAACAGATTATTATCATAAAAAAGGGGGTGAATGTGAAGTCAAACCTCTCCAACTATTGGTTTTAATGAATACAATTTAGAAACAAATGCTCATAGAAAAAGAATAGTAAAAGCCTCATGGTCAAAGCTAAAGCATCAAGTGTTCAATATCATTCAAATTTATGAATACTAGCTTTGGAACTTTATGCTTGATCAACATTTTTGAGGTACAAGTAGCAACTTCATTATGTTAATACTTAAGTGTTCAAGAAAAATCATGTTGATCATTTCCATATACATACATTCACTTTAAGATATTTTGGAACTTGGTTGAAACTATTTTTTTTGAAGTATTTTTCAATTTCAAGTCAGATGTAACCAGTTACATCATTTCTGGTAACTGGTTACACATACGTAATTTTGAGTTATTTAGTTTCACAATGTCAGGCGTAATCGGTTACACAATTTCTTGTAACCGGTTACACACACGAAAATTTTGAATTTTTTTTATACCGCTTCAGGTGTAACCGGTTACCCCATTTCTGGTAACCGATTATCACTGAAGCAGTGACATTTTTTCATACAAAATCTAATTTTAACGAACTTATTTTTTCATCCCTCAAGCATGACATTTTTTCATGATTTCATGCACATCCATAAAGGTATTGAGGTACTATAAATACTTTACGTATCAGATTTTGAAAACTTACCTCTTTCATTAAAATTCAAACTCATTACTCACTCAAACTTTCAAACAAGTGTAACTTTGTGTGAAACTTAGTGCATTAGTCTTCATTGCATCATTTAAAATTTCAACATTAATTATAAACACTTGTATAACATATTGTGAATTGCTTGTTTGATAGAGAAGATCAATTCTAGTAATTGATATACATATTATCCAACTTCAAACTCTTGTATGAAATTCAAATTAGTGTGAACACCTTGATGTCCAAGATTGTTGGAAGCAAGAGAGTGAAAAAGAAAGGATTGTTCTCTAGTTTTACTTTGTAAAGATCATAAGGGGATTGTCCTTATTGATTGAGTTAGAATTTTGTGTAAAGTGGTTAGGATAGGCTTGTATAAAGTTCTAAACACATAATGAAATCTCTTATTGTGTAACAGGATTGAATGTACTCTCAGATTGTGAAGGAAACTACAATACATCGGCCTGTTCTTTAAATTTTTACACTTTAACGCTTTCTAAATCATCACCAAACCAAAAAGTTAAAAGCATAATTTCAATAAACCAAAAATCGATCAAAGTATCTAATTCATCTCCTCCCCCCTTTCTTAGGTGCAATCTCTATTTATAATTTTATGACATTTATATACATTTATGGTAGACCCTAGAGAAACAGTATATGTTTTTTTTTTCATCATGACTATTTCACTTCAAGATTGGATGATCTTGATCACTAAAATAGTACTTCCTACAATTCAAGAAGATTGCATAAGCTATTTTTCATTTAGGGAACTAAGTTTTTTTCAAAATATATTTGTGAATGATTGCAGGAGCGCAGTGTATGTCAGGTAATTGGCACAAAAGCACCATAAGAATTATATAGAAATATCGGCAAAAAGGGAGCACACAAGGTTTCCGAAAGAAAGATGCCCTCTAATAATTCAAGCATGATGCAGAAGGGTGAAGAAGAAGAGTTGAATGACTTAAAATCAAAGAAAGGTTGGCACCAAAACAAGTTTATGTGAGTTACAAAAATAAATTTGAAAACATTCGAAAAATACATTTTTAAAATAATTTAAGACATTAAAATAGGGTTTGACTCAAACGAAATTCCCAAACTGAGTTTGCTAAAGTGCCCAAGAATGTAGGATGTGAATTATTTTGCAAGTGTTTGAAACAGCTTACGGCAAAAATAATTGCTTGCAAATGCAGTTTCAAACTGCTTAGGAATGGATTGGGTAATTTTGGTTTCGGTGGGAAAAATTGTTTAGTAGTTTGCTCCAGTCTCTTTTCCTGGTTCTCAGAAACTTCATTTTTAATAATTTATTATTGATTTTGCTTTAATTAAGCAGTAGTTTGTGTCAATGGTTCGAATCTGTAATAGTTACACATCATACAACCGAACAATGGTCTTTTTCTGTACGGTTTGGTTTTTTACCAGTGAGAACTACAACTAGCCAGAACAAGTCTATTGACAATATACCAGTAACAATATATATATATATATATATATATATATATATATATATATATATATATATATATATAAATGAATATAAGGCAACAAAAAAACTGTAATATAAAACAATTACAATGATGAACGTCACATTTAGTATGTACAGGAACATAGGCTCAGACCATCACAAACTGACAATGAAGGTTTGTAGATGTGTTACTGATTTAGTATACAGGAACAAAGGCTCAGGCCATCACAAACTACCAATGAAAGTTTGTAGATGTGTTGCTGATATTATTGTGTCAATTTAGTAAAAAGAGAAGAGATTTATAAGTGAAACTTTTGATGGGTAAACAGAGCTTTATCCAAAATATCCAAAAAAATTGGGAAATTTTAGAATTATGACTTAAGGACAGAGGGAATGTGGTAGCTATATAAGTATGGATGTAAAAATAAGGGAATAGATTTACACTCAAATACAGAATTGGTTTGACAAAACCAGATTTATAGGCATATTTTCAAAACAAAATCCTGAACGAATCTCAAAACAACAAAAACACCCAACAGCAACAGCAATGTAATAACTTCTTCAATGTTCAAACAAATACTCTCATTTCCATATAATCAGTCCCTATTATGATGAAAACCATGCATTGCAACATCAATCTAAACTTAAACCAGAATAACATAAAAAGCCACAATGCAAGTCAGTTATCCATATCCATATCCATATTTAATGACTTCTAAATTTCAATCGGAGTCCAAGAACACACTTAATCCAAATCCAATTCCAAAATATTGTCAAAATCTATGTTCATTTAAACCCTTTAACCCATGACAATTGCCACAGTAGTTGAAAACAAAAACAAAATTGGTTTATTTCATAATATCATAACAATCCAAAAAAAACAATAAAATAGTAATATAAATCCATGCCACAGAAAATCAAAATAAGCATATGAATTCCATAACAACAATATAACAAGATTCAGAATCCAAAATTCAGTAACATAACATTTATCAAAAATAAAACAAAATCCAAAATACTCTAAATAAAAACCATTAAACCTCACTCTCAAAACCTCCTTCCACCAGGTCCACCAGCAGCTCCAGCCCCACGACCGAAAGGAATCGGCTGAACAGCCACCGGATCCACCTGCACAACCCCAGGAATCTCCGACATCCCAAGCGCCGCAAGCATATCCAGAGTCTCCTTATCAACCTCAATATGATCAGTCCTGATAGCCGACACATCAGGAACGAAATCCATACGCCTCTCACGCTCTTCCTCTTGTAGCTTCAACGAGATTCCACGAACAGGTCCCTTCTGAATCCTCTTCATCAAATGAGTTGAAAACCCAGCGATTTTGTTGCGAAGCCTCTTGGTTGGAATGAGTGCGACTTCCTCGAGGATTTTCTTGTTGGTGTGGAAATCCAAAGTCATGCGAGAGTAGTAACGCTCGATGACTTGTCTTGAGGATTTCTTCACGGTTTTGGTTCTGACACGACCCATTTTGCGACGGTGAGTGAAAGTGTGTGTGGTGTGGGTGAAGGATGAAGACGAAGAGAAATTAGGGTTTTCTCGGAGGAAGAGGCACACTATGAGTTAGTTAGGGTTTGGGAAAATATAAGTTCTTTGTTTATTGGGCTTCCATGGGTTAAGGCCCATTTTCTATTACATTAGCAATAAAATGACATATTTATCCTTTTTATTTTGACTAATTTTGTCTTTTTTTTATTTTTTGAAATTTGAATTTTTAAATTTTCATTTAAAACTAAATTTGTTTATTTAAATAAAATTCACTTAGACTATTTTAAAGGACTATTAGTTTTAGCAATTATATATTCATAATTAAAATGTAGTTTTATGTATAATATTAATAATATATATTTTTAATAAATAATAAAATAAAGGTTAAATTCAAAATTCATATTATTTTTTGTTTATTAACATTTTTATAATGGCGGTCAAAAATAAATTTTTATAGTGGTTAAACAATCAAACCAAACTTTCAAAAAGGTGATATCAAACTTACAATAAAACTTTTGAAAACTAATAACTTTGACTTATATTTGATTATTTTGATTAGATTTGATTTATTTAAGCTAATTCTAGTTAGTAGTCATTTTTCTAGGTTTGCAAATTAAAATAATAAATATGTTAGAAATATTATTGTCTTGTTTGTACTTGTTTTAATTTATACTAGCGTTCAGACGGGCACGCTGTCCGCTTTTTTATTGCACACATATAAATATAAATGATATATTTTTATTTAATATTAATTTTACATGGAAGTTATTAGTATGGAGTTATATGAAAGATGATAGTAATAGTTCAATGGAAGTTATTGTGTAAGTTATATATTTTAAAATAAGTGTAAATTTAGTATAAAAAAAACTACACCAAAAACCATGTATTGCCTTTATATATGTTATAGATTATAGATTATAGATTATAAATGTTTAAATTTTTCAAGGATTAGTTTAGCGGTTGAGACTTGTATTTTTAGAGTTTTTTTTTTTTTTTAAGGTTTTGGGTTTGAATCTTTCTATTTAGTTTTTTTATATGGATATTAATTCCCTACACTCATAAAAATGATACTGTCACACGGTCAAATCATTCTTAATCGTTCAATCAGATTTGAATTTTACACTTTAAACTAACCATGCAAGATACTAAAAACAAAAACAAAAAATCACTCACTTGTAAAATTTAAAATGGGTATTTCTTTTTCGATTTCACCTTCCATATTCTCCCTGTTCGCTTTCACACTGTAAAACATGATTCATTTCGTTCATTTCATTTCTCATTCGTAGATTCACCTCTCTTTGTTTATTAAGCTTCACAACTAATATTGAGAAAATATTATCTACCACTAATAACAATTGTTCCACATCGATGTGTTGATTCAGGTCCTTTATTTTTTGGGATGACTTGAAAGGTAAATCATTTTGTAGCAATGAAATTGAGAAGAATCCCTTCATAAATTGACGTCTGCGTTGGTAATTGTTGCGTGAATGAAAAAACTCATTTTCTTTATAGGTGTTAGTGTCAGCAACGAAACTGCGTGAATAAAGATAAACACTTCATTCATCAATGTCCTTTGTATCTACATGTGAATGAAAGAAAATTCTTGTCGTCCCTCTCGAGTGAATGGAATGAACCTCTTACTATGAAATTGACAAATTAGAATGAATCATAATGAAATGAATTAGGTTACTTGATTGAATTGGCAGGAAACTCTCCTCCCATGATAAATAAGGTTTTCTTTTTAAGTATCTTATGTTATGAGTTAAAAATATAAACATTAAATAAGATGATCAATCTCAACCATTCATTTAATCAAATGAATGTAATTCATTTGACTACAATAATTATTTGATATTTTGACTGCAGTGAATTGCATTCCCAAAAATACTCCTCAAACTTCATCTAAAAAGTTTTTAAACATAATGTATGAAAATCATTGAAGTTAAGTTGTCAAATGTTGTATTTTTCATAAAAATCGCAATGGTGGTCGATTACAACTTAGTGATAATTGATGATAGTTTTAAAATTTGAATAGTTTTTAAACATAATGTATGAAAATGTGTGTTTATTGTGAAACCGCGTCATTGTAGTCAGAGGAAAAGCTTCATGGAACCTTCTCAAACTTATTCATTCATTCATGGAGGTTTCTAAGGGTGTATATAAAGCACTATACAATAGAAAACAATATTTATCTCTTTCAAGTCAATTTTTACACAATTCAAATATTCTTTTTAAATTGTTTCTTCATATTTCAATTTTTTGAAACTTTGAATATTTTCACATATTTTAAAAGTTTCAATACATATTCTGAGCACTCAAATAATATTAATTTGAATTATAATACAAGAAAGATAAGTCCATTTTACAAGAGTAAATTTGAAAAATTCTAGTCATTATAAAATTCTTCAACAAAGTCTTTACAAAATGTGTATAATACTTATTCATCAAGGTTGCGGTGAAAAGTATTAGCATAAGAAAATATCTTCTTTCTATATGGTTGTGCTAAAAGATTATAAATAGGATCTTGATGTGAGGCTTGTACACAAATTTCTAACATAGTAGAAAATTGTATGAGGGAATAGAGGGGTTGGACTAGCCTTCATTTAGAGTAAAAGTGGACATAGGTCAGACCAACTAACAGAAACCAAAGGCCTAGCCTACACATGCACAGGGCGTACCATGTTTCCTATATAGAAAAATCCAGGATTTTTTATAAGATTATTTAGTTAAAAATGTCAGGCCACGAGGCATAAAAAGCCTTTAAAGCCTGTCAGGCTGACATATTTAAATAGGTTCGACCCTATTTATAAAGTCTTTATTATTATTATTATTATATTGTATTTTATATTTTAAATTAAAGTACCAAAATAAAGTTTAGTTATCTTTTAGAACTTATGAAAATAAGTTGAAAAGCTCTTATGAACAATGTCATAAATTGTTTTCATAAGTTCTCTCAAACAAATATCATTACAAAACATATGGTATTAGGCAAACTCAAATAAGTCAATGCATACAAACATTGAGTCTCGTTGATATTTTAATTTGTTAGTCTATTTAAAATTTGATTGAATTGCTTTTTTATTTTACAAATGTTCAAATGAAATAGACTTTTAAGAAGGCTAATATGTCAACCGGGCCTTCAAAAAGGTCAGGCTCAGGCCTAAAAACAAGGTTGTGAGAGACTACAAGTGAAACTTTGGCTTTAAAAAGATAATGGAGTAAGTTCATCTCCGGATTCTGATAATGAAGAACAAACACATATCTCATTAATGGAATCACACCACTTCGATGATGAAAAAGAGGTTAGTAATGACAAACTCTCATATGATGAGTTACAAAATGTATTTAATTAATTACGTGATGAAAGTATAAATCTCTCTTGAATGTGCATTAAACAAAATAAAATCATTTCATCTCTAGAAAGTAAAACAAGTAATATGAAAAATGATTTAGATAAAACTAAAACAAAAGTGGTTGAACTGGAGTATGTTACAATCATTGTTAAATATGAAAGAGAAAAAAAAGTAAACATGCCTTAGATAGTGTTTTAAGTAGTTAAAGATACTCAATTGATAGAACTGGAGTAGGTTATAATTTTTAATCAAAAAGAAACTATGTTAAAAATTCCTACTAACCCTTTGGAAGAATATGTCTTATAATATTTCAAATTTTAATACCATTTAGTCTCTATTTAACAGCACAATTCAACTAGTCCTTGTCTATTAAGCTAAAGTTGTCAGAGAAGCAACTTATTTAATAGGATATAACTTAATTGCAATCTCAGTTTTTAGTGTCGTCATGTTTCTTATATCAACCCTATAACTATATATGATGATCATAAACTTGTCGTAACAATACTATTTTGATTTTGCAGGTAAGGATTTAAAAGACATATGAATGCTAATTAATGTCGGTGATGTCCTTATTCAAGAAATTTGAGATTGTGGCATAGATGATAAAAGATTAATGAGTGTCATTGATGTCCCTATTCAAGAAATTTGAGACTGTGGCGTAGATGGTAACTGAATTCATTTGCATTCTATTTAGTAGTTACAACTTGAGCTAGTAGAGGCAAGATAAATGACCAGAACTTACGAAGATGAACCTCGAATGTCACAAATAGGTTCAAAAAGTAATGTAGATCAGTAGGGGAAAGAAAATGGAAACCAATTTCACTTGAATGGATGAAATACTTCAGGTGGAAATACTACTCTCATTACAAATGAGAACTCAGATAATGGTTCCCCATTTTCAACTTCAGGCAATCTGTCAGTTCAGGTGAGTGCTTTAATTAATGAATGATAGATAAATAATTAAACATATTACTTTGTTTTATTCTCTTAAATTTTATTTGCAACATGTCTTATATGTCAATCCATGCATTTTAAACTTCAAACAATTTTTTTAAGATATCATTTGAGATCATCATAACAATGTAACTTATGAATGTGTTTTGTAAAGTGTCATGTAGGTTTTCATCATGTATCAAAGCACTGGAGTAAAATGGTTAACTATTTGATTACTCTTTTGTATGATGTAATACGTCAAGGAGTCATGTATGTGTAATACCCAAATTTTTACCCCTAAGATCCCACATTTCATTTGCATTTTTGCATACACAAACAAGACCATACTTTTTGGTTCTCTCAGCGCACTTGTGTTTTCTACTTGCTTTATGTTTACTAACCTCTAACCAAAATACCAAAAATATTTTTCAATTTGTTTGTTTCTTCTTCTTCTCTGTGTGTTTAGGGTTTTGCAAGGAAATTGATGGCAAAGACATTCATTCGAGTCTAAATCAGATGAAAGTTTGACCTCATTTTGGTCGAACTATCAAGAGTTTGCTTCAACTATAAGTTACCCGTGGTGGTGGGCTATTTTCTCAGGAAATGTGATTGTTCAAGGTCAAGTTGTCCTATATCAGTATTCATCAGTTTATCGAGCAGTGTTTTATGAGAAGTGTGGTTCAGGGTATCATGATC